CAACAATGATAGGCATCGTAATCCTGTGTAAGGCAAGGTCTATGCCTTCTCTATAAGCTTAGAGCTCTGACTCTAGCGCACTCTCACATGTGTGGATTTCTCTGCATGCGCTATAGATGATATTCCCTCTATCATCTCTAAGGATCATGCCTTCGCCCGCTGCTCTTGTGGCTGCAACAAAGCCGCCGTCCGTGTTAAGTTTGGCCCAGCCCATGCTGGGGGAGGGGGGGGGGCATCTCGGCCGCGTCGTTGCTATCCTGCTGGGTTGCACGCGCGACGGGGCATCGCAAACCACCATCTTCCGCTTCTCCATATTGGTATGTGGATGTTGCTAGATGCATAATAGTGAAGTAACGTAGCCATGTAAGAAACGACAAGAGGCCTCAGTAGGAGGTGCGGTTTGTCATGGGTAATCTCATTGCGAACATGTCATACTCTCCACATGATCATGAGGACCACCAGCCTCGCCATCTCATCCAAGGATTCCAACAGGGAGAATAGCCACTCTGGCCCCGTGTCCTGGATGGTCTCCACCTTGGGTATATTCCACTCCTTTGCCATGACTCTCCAGAGCTCCCTTGCTAGTGGGCACCTACAAAGCGCGTGGAACCGTCCCCGCGTTCAACACCACATAGGGGGCAGATGTCAGTAACCTCGAGGTGTCGTGAAGCTTTGTTGGCCCAAGTAGCAAGTGAACTTGTGACAACCCTCCATGCAAGCACGCGTACCTTAGGGGGGAGCAGGGCACCCTCATAGAACTCTGCTGGTACTGCTTCTGCTTCGCTGCAGTCTGAGTCCTTCTGTAACTACCCTTTCTGCAGACTTGGCCGCTTAGACTAAGAGTGACCTTTATCTCCCATAAAAAAAACTAAGAGTAACCTCTCTTTGATTTATCGAAAACTACTTAATTCCACCGACTAATTCCTTCCTCCCTTCAACCACCTCCTCCGCTCGACACATGCTCCTTGTGGGGCCTGCCCCCCTCCCAACCTTATTCTCTCTACGGTCTTTCTCCTCCGCATGTTCTCTTCTTCCCATTTCTCTTTCGTCATGTGGGCCTCGTCATGCCGACTATGGGGACGAGCTCCCTACGTCGACCACCATCCCTACTGCCACAAATCAAGAGAGGGTTCTGACACCGACCACGCATGCGCATCTGCCAATCCCTACACTGATGGAGCATCACCGACATCGTGATGGAGCATCTAATGGAAGCATCATCAAGTGCCACGGGTGGAGCTTCTACTCGTGGCCGTCGGCATTGTGATAGAGCATAGTGTGCGGTTGTCGGTGCTGCGATGGAGCATCGCCGGCTCTGCAACGACATCATGATGCAACAATGACCGCAACGGGTGGTGCGACTCCAACAAGCGGGTGGTACAATTGCCAGCCTGACACTAGCAAGCGGGTGGTTGAGGTTGTGGTACTATGAGTCGACACAATTGTACCACAAAAATATGCTCTTATTTGTGGGAAATGTACAAGAACCAGATACAATAATCCACCCTACTTGTATACCCGAGAGACCGAGTGATCATGAAAGCCTTGCACAGATACTGAATAATTGGAATTGCAAGCATACTCATCCAAAAGTAAAGGAAATGGCTACTATGATCCAAGGGACAGACAAGAAAATCTCATAAAAAATCATCTTAGAAATCTGAAGACGCAAGATTCGCCACACATTTCAGCCTTTCGGTTCTAATAAAACACAAGGATTAGAAGTTGATGCTAACTCCACTTTTAGTAAGAACTGGCACATGTTGCTGCCTGCAGTTCAACGTGCACGCCCCTCACTGCTCGCCTTCAGCAGGAGGATTCTTCATGAGTTCCCTAGCCTTCCTGCATGAATTCGAAACCATAAGGAATGAACTGCAAAAGTCCTTCAATATGCAGCTCAATAAGGAATTGCACTATACGCGACTGAGACAGAAGTGGCACATAACAAACAAAAGAAGCTCTTCAGAGGCGTCTAAGGATTTGCACTAGTGGCTTTTGCCGTGATAGCCTAGTCCCATCACTATAAAAGCACTTTGCCAACCTAAAATCAATTTTTAACCATACAAAACAGCTGCATGTATTGATTAATATAGAAGATTACACGCCAAAGATGGCATGATCCATACAATGCTCAAAGAACACACGACCGAAGGAACGCCAAACCGGTAAGGACCTAGCCATACCTAGACAAGTGCAAATTAGGAGTACAAGTGTACAGCATGAGGGCACGGAAGCAACAACCATCAGCGCATGCAGCACCAGTTAGTGTGACAACACACCCGTACCGAGCCAACCTAAGACCATACTGGTATCGGGAAGATATTCAGAAGAGATAAGCGTAGGAGAGTAGGTTACCGTAGTTCACGCTCAATTTCAGCATTCCCAGGATCCAGCTTTTGTGCATCCAAGAGAGCATTACAGGCTTGTTTATACTCCTGGTGCAGAGGAGATCAAAGAATGTGACCAGACTGGAAGATCAATATGAAATAAGTCACAAGTGAAGACACTGGCAAGCTAGAGGCACCTTGAGTAGCATGTGAGCTGTAGCTTGACGGTAGCAAGCTTTGGCCCAATCAGGTCGCAGCATTCTGCACCTGAGAGCATCCGACAAAGCACCTTCACCATCACCCATGAGCAGTTTACAAACACTCCTGTTTGCATACAGTGCTGCACTCTCTGCATGATCTATTGCCTACACTCAAAAGTTGGTCATGCAAACATTATTCTCAACTTAAAATGATGGCATACAGTTTCTTTTATTCTAACGCTTATTCATGGAATGGTAGAAAACTATCTAAAAACTTTAGTAATTTACTACTCAGTAATACTGCAGAATGGAGTAACTGAACACGTTCTCTTACTAGACTGATTGGCTGGTTCAATTTACTGCAGAATGTAGTCAACAATCCTAAGTAGATATTACATCGGACACATTAACAGAAACAGTAGACAACTGTTAAGCTTCATGCACAAGCCAACGCAACCAAAAGTCCGAACTGATGGAAAGGGCTAGTGCAATCCACATATAGTGTAACACCCAGACAAGTCAACGCGTGCAACCGGAAGAGAGCGACGGCGCGCGAAACTCACGTATGACTCAAGAGGCCTCTACGTGGACACAAAGGGGGGCTACCAGTATTTTTTTTAATAAATTGTAAAAGCCAGGACTTGAACTCAAGACCTTAGCTCTGATACCATGTTGAAGTCACATCAAATATTCATATTAGCCAAGAAGAAAAAATAACTTCAGGGATTCTGGAGATGTAAGACATCAGCGAAGTTTGACATGTGCAAATAATGTCAAATTGGCTTCTCAACTGATGTCAAATTTGCTTACTATGCATGATCTATGTCAGTTAAGATCGAATTCAAATCAGTGACAAATCACTGTTCATTTATCCATTACCTTGTATCTTTTCAGTTTTGGGGCCATTCAAAGCTCATATTTACATTAAAAATAGTTAAATATCCTAAATGGTTAACAGTGTAAATAGAGTATAGTAAGAAAACCTAGTTAGTAGTAAAAAAAACAAAATGCTCTTAAATTGGTTCCCATTAATAGAGAAAACTTACTATCTAAACCATCACAGGTTAAGTGAAAGAGGTTTACCAAACCATACAACTGTGATGCCAACTTATACTCCTTCTGCTTGAATGCCGTATTAGCCTGTAACTTTAAGAAAGCCTTTCTTTTTTCAACGTGCTTTTGCTCCTAGATAACACATAATGAAACATGAATTGAATGAGTAGAATTTGGAAATAATCATCAGTTACTATGATAATTTGTATCCAGAGAAATGCAATAACATTTTGTTCAACATTCTTAATAGTTTGGTGTCTAGGAGGCTATCTCTTTGACTGATTATGCTGCAATGCGTACTGCACATGCTCCTTGGAGTGAAGAAATCCTTTACTGGTTCTGAAGCTCAAAGTTCAGCTGCAGTCCAAATTTAAGCTTCCAAACCGGCATAAGGGGCAAATATTTCACTGGTTCAGAGATTAGCTGTGCCAGGTTTTATTTGAATCAAACCAAAACGTCAAGGTCTTAAAGGGACTCCTTTGCAGTTATAGGTATATAAAGTATCCCAAAAATGAGGAACAGTAGGCTCTCTACTTCAAACAAGTATGCTGCTGTACAACCGTCCTTCTCTTTACCATTGAATGTTGTCAGCAAAGTTAGAACAATGTTAGAATCTACAAAACACCAGGTGGGGCCACAGAACAAGGTGTTGCTTCTTTCACGGAAACAACCAAGGAGAATACATCACATATGTGCTCGCCTGTTAGGTACATAATGCGATAAAAAAAAGGACTCAGAAATATACATGACAGATAGCATTTGCCCAGGCATCAAAATAGTCACAAGAAAAGAGTGCAAGATAATTTTGTGCTGAACTAGAAGTATATTGTTCATGTGACATATTACTAGACTAGATGCTAACGAAGCACACCCTTTACATGATGCTGGTGTATTTTCCAACCATGGTATAGTATCAATGATACCATAACTATGAACCATACTCAAGCATCTCACTATTCTCTATACAACATAAGCTTATGGCAGTTACTAGAATGAACTCTTTAAGATGCTCCACCTTACCTCACCAGAAGTAAGGTAAGGTTTAAATATGAGTCGTTTATTGATAGAGATTAGTTTTGGCCTCGCAGAAATAATGCTAATAAGCAACCGGTGGCGTATTTTGGCATCTAATAGATGCAAGTCCTTCCATAACAAATAGTCACAATTTTCTCTGGAAAAAAAAGGGGTAACAGTCTGACAATTGATATACAGTCAAAATATTGATGTGGGATCTTTATCATGTTCCAGTTAATTGGTGTGAAGCAATACATCCCATCCACAGGGGTGACATACTTGATTGCATAGCCATGCGAAGTAATTAAGTCAATAGACTCCTAATGCTCATTAATAGAGGACTCTTCTACTCAATGATCTTTACCAATTATTCAGCCCGAAAACCTGAGTTTGGTTAGCATGTTCTATTCATTACAGTAGAGGGTTTGTTTATATTATTGTGTTCTGTTACCAAATTGATAGTGCATTCCACACATAGATTCGTGATGTCTACTGTTAGACCAGGGCCAGATGTCTCAACACGATCATATTGCCCTTCTAAATGACAGTTTTTAGTTTGTTCTCGCTAGTCAGCAGTTAAAAAACTATTTTTTATGATTATCCCAAGTTGGGACACCTGAGATTACCCCCATAAATAAGTAATCATTCTCTCAATGTACATATGGTGCCATGGATATAGTAACCACAATTAATAATAACATTTAATGAACAAATTTAGGGCTGAAGAACTAATTAAAGGTTTCAAACAATATTCAGTACGAAAACAGCATAAGAACAGAAAATAGCATACCATCGGCTTTTTATCTTGAATTTTTGCATAAGAAATTACTCCCTCAATACTCCAGTTTCGGACATTTGGAATTGGGTTAGTCAAAGGAAACAACATTTCAACCTCTTCCTTGCAATCACGCACCGCAGCAAACTCTATTGGCAACCTACCTAACTGGGAAACATAAGAAAAAGTAACTGTCATTTATTTTAAAATTTAACAACATCATTCAAGAAGGGAAACATTTGGAATATAGAAAAAGAACATGAACATTATGTAATGTAATAGTACTTTTTAGAAAGAAGCAGGATCTAAGTAATATTTTTAATCAAATGTATCAACAGGGAATTTACCCAGCAATTCAGACTGCCAACACAAGGTTTGAAGGACAGGAATTTGAGGCAAAATTATTTTGTGGTGTCCCACTTGAGTCTCCATTAAATAAATAGATAAAACACGAGGAGAAGTAGCTTTACATGTGGTGTTTTAGCAGGTTCTTCAACTGATAGTGGCATCAATATAAACAGGTACTTGGAGTAAAAGAATGAAAACAGAATACCAACAGCTGGGATGAAGAACATAAAATAAACTAAACAAAAAGTAAATTCATTTATTGTCTATTCATGAGTACATTTGAGAAATGCTGCTACCCAGAATGGTGAGATCTCAGCATCTGAAAAACTGTTAGGTATGCATCGATATATGTTGCGAACTTGTTCGGTACAAGCAAATAGCAACATTTGTAGAAGGGTATATGTATATATGCTGGAACAGAATAGGCATAGTTCTTCAATAGGAACTCAATAATTGATAATCAACAGAAAATGACAAGTATAAAGATATAGACCATTGCAAATTTGGCTGTTTCCTAATGATGGATGTGCCCTGAGGCTAATTAATATTTCATTATGGGAGGAGCCCTGATAGGTCTACTTATTAAATGATATGGACTATTTGGATGGAAGGTCGAGACAACTTAGGCACAAGTGCCAACAACATAAAGCAACCTAAACTCATGCCCAAATAGCTCTCCGACATAATAAGAAGAGCTGTATAATATTATCAGCAGAAGATTTAATAGAAAATGGTGATATACTGCATAGCTCTCAGAAAAAAAATTAAAATAAAAGACATACATCATCTGGAATATTAGGATCTGCTCCAGCCTTCAATAGGAACTGAATGTAGTTCGTATAACCTCCTCGTCCCGTAGCAAACACCAAAGGAGTCATAGCACAACCCTTGCAATTAACATCCGCACCAGCCTGTGGAAAGGATTGTGCAATAAAATGTCCATGTACATCAACTTATAAGCATGACAGGGAACATGGCGTGAGCAAAATTACAACATAGCAATGAAAAAACAATCCAAAGAGTTCTCACCTTAATGAGTAGCTTCATGCACTTCAATGAACGGTAAACAAGAGCCATACACAGAGGATTTCCCATACCGTTGACAATGACATTAGGCTGAAAGAAGGTATAGTGTATTAAGAAACACAGGTGGCATGATAATTCAAGATTTTATTTTGAGATGAAAAGGGTATCCTAATTTAAAAGGTTGCAGTCATATATACTGATGTATTTGGTGTTTCAGGGGATCAGATAGTAAGTGGACCATCCAAATCCTAATCCTGACCTAAAAACTATTTGTGCAAATTAATGCTGATCGCTGAATCAAGAAAAATAAGAAAAGTGGAGGCCATGTACGTTTGCATGGTGGTCCAACAAAATCTTCAATGTCTTATCCTGCTCATTTACAGCAGCCAGAAAGGCTGGTGTTCCACGGCCGTAGTCTATGTCGACCGGCACTCCTTTTGAAAGGAGGAACTCTGTTACCTTGCAGCATCCTGTGGTAAACGAAATGATTCCATCAGTCATGTTTAACCATAACGTTTATTAACTAGTAGTAGTAGAACTACTCCCTCCGTTCCCAAATATAAGTCTTTTTAGAGATTTCAACAAGGGACTATATACGGAGCAAAATGAGTGAATCTACACTCTAAAATATGTCTACATACATCCGTATGTTGTAGTCCATTTGAAATATCTAGAAAGACTTATATTTAGGAACATAGGAAGTACCAGCTTGGAGAAATCATGTGTGTGTGTGTGTGAGTCAGGGGGGAGAACCTGCAGCCACAGCATGGTGGAGAACTGTTTGTCCTTTGTCATCTGCTTTCATTACATCACCGCCACGATCAAGAAAATACTTGACGGCAGCAACATCACCAGACTGAGCAGACACCATAAATGGAGTCGCACCTGTAACAAAAAGCACATCCTCAACACAACCGTTGATCTCATACTTATTACCATTGACATAGCAATTGGCAAACACCAATTTAAAAAATGGAGAAAAGGATAGAAAAAGACCTAGAGCTACTCCATGTCCAGGAGCATTTACATCTCCCTTGAGCTCCTCCACCAAATACTTGCAAATATCCAGATGGCCAAAGCTTGCCGCGATATGCAACACAGAGAGTCCATCGTTGTTGAAAGAAAAAATCGCCGACCGGTCGCCATTTCCTTTGGTGAGCCGCTTTACAATACCTTCCCCAAAAGTACACATGATCGCATTATAGAAGCCAGTAGACAAATTAACAAGATTGAAAACCAAAAGAAGAAGCGAACAGTGAAATGGGCAAGAACATCATGAGGTTGAAGGGACCCAATCTGACACATTAATTCTGGACAGTCACTCAGTGAAAATACTTGAAAACACGTCCTTTTAGAGCCTCTGTAGATTAAAGTAGTGATCTAAACGGTCTTATATTAGTTTACAGAGGGAGCAATTGACTAGACGGTAAATTTCGATGTAATGGACAATGAGATGGTTTCATCCAAAGTTTTCACATTTATACCGTCACTTTTTAACTGAATCTGCATATCTGCCTGTTGAGATCAGTCGATGCTAGCGAAACTTTACATTCTACAGAGCTAGAAGGATAGCAAAGTGTTGCGAGTAAAACATCCGACGGCAGTACAGAACTATAACAGGTTATATGAAGAAAACTGTTCTGGAAGGCGGTGGACACTGTAACTAGTACTACTACGCAAGATAACTGAGCGACGCATCAAAACAGAGCAATGCAGCATGTCTGAAGAACAATCTCGGACCCCGCGAACACAGCGCACGCACGCACGCAACTAAGCAGGAGTGGAAAAGGCACAGGAGAAGAGGAAGGGGCTACCTTTGAGGCGGCCGAGGTTGCCGTCGATGGCCGCCTTGATGAGGGCCTTCTCGCCTGCAGACACACGCGCACGGCCACCGTTAGAAACGCAGCCAGAGGCCAGAGGGAGAGGGGGCAAACAACGGAGGGCGGGAGCGAGCAATCAGGCGCCAAGGGGCGCGCGGAAAACCGTGCGTACCGGCGTCGTCGGCGTCGCCGGCTGGGGGGCAGTAGATGAACGGAGGTGGAGAGTCCATGGCCGACGATCTCGCCCGCCGGTCGGTCGGAAGCTTGCCGGCGGCGACGACGGAGAACCCTGCGGTGCGGCGTGGGGGGTTGGGGCCCGTCTTCTCTCTCTGTGTCAGCCTGCTGCCTCTTCCTCGCTTGCTTTGGTCGAGAAAGTGGCGAAGTGGATGGGCTTGGTGTTGCTGCCGCGCTATAGTGTAGGTGGCTGCCTGGCTGGTGCACCCGCCGTCGGCGTACGAAGACCAGGTGCACCCAGGCCTCCATGCTCAGGTGGATGTAGAGGGCCAATCGGCAGGCGACGCGTGTGCGCCAAAAGGCTGCCGCGCCGAACCGTAGCCGCTGCTCCCCTGAGCTCCTCGAGCATATCGCAGCCCTTGGGTGCTGAATGAAGGGACCAGATCTAGCGCTACACTAGGCTGCCGCGCCGAACCTTAGGTGCTGCTGATCACTACCCTGTTCGATTGTGTGCTCTGGTTTCAAGAATTACCCGACCCAATTTTCGTTCGAGTAGAAGCAAATTGTGAGTACGCAAAAGAACAAAGGGGCCATAATGCAGCCAGGACACGCGCAAGATTTACTGCTTCTCAAGCAAAGTTTTAACCCTTTACACTCAGACAGAGCAAGCGATTTTTACACAGGCAACAGGTCACGGAGCAACAAACAGTCTTGGCAATACCTAAAGGGCTAATCTGCCTACTTGTAACCATTACTAGTAGTACTATTCTAGCAAGTTCCCCCTTCCATATCCAATACACTTTCTTCAGTCTGCTCTCACTGCTAATCACCTGAGCTTTACTTCCTAGCGTACACGATCACAGCTTACCGGATAAGCGCTAGCTACAGTACCATGCACATTACTGGACAATGGCGTATTCGGAAATGAACAATGCCTTCACCATAATCTACACTTCTGACAGAATCACCATCAAAGCCTCGGACCTCGGGACGTTTTTTCCATCTTCACACGCTTGGCTGAACTGCATTTGAGTGGACCTGCACGGGGGAGTTAGAAACTGTCAAATTCAGATAGATGGCATCAAAATGCAAAACCCATCTCTTTCCCAGAAGAAAAAAGAAGGTGTGGAATAGGATTAACTCACGACGGGAACATTTATGAATTTGCGCCCGTGAAATCTGCCCATGACAGGCACAAAAGAACCATCTACTGATATGCGCGGTACTTGTTCTTCGGTAAAAAAAGAAAAAACAGCTCAAAAGTTCAATCGGTTGGCTGGACCTATGTGAAGCCAGCAGAGAGGTCAGACTGTGAGCCATCACACTATAATAGCAACTACGGTTCGACGTGCACTTGTTGCTACTGTAATGCTATGCATGCCCATTGTTTACCTGAAGGTGCCTTTCTTCAGGATGGCTTACGGTTCTGTGCTTCAGCTCTCCACGGTTTGTTGTGAGCTCATCCAATATTTCAGAGTCGTCTCTGCTGTCACAGCTTCCTGAATTTGAGCCATCTTCCTCCTGCATAACGATACAAGAGTTTCAGAGTAACAAAAGATGACAATACACCTTGAGGCGTTGCAGAGAATGAAACGAAATCTGGACATACAGAAAGTTTATCTAAGAACCCAAGCTGAACTCGTACCAGTATTTGTTCATGTGGGACACCTTCAAGTTCTTCGTACTCAGCTGCATCCAGTTCCCGCAAGTCATTGGGCTCAAAGAACTTCGGGAGCAGGTGTTGCCTGATGAGAATCATAATGAAGAAAGGCAGCGGGAAGAGGATCCCTGCTACTGGTATCCATGTTATGCCGAAGCATATCAAGAGATACACAAACTGGAAGACCGTAAAGGCAGATATTGTTCTTGAAGGCACTGACTCCACGAAAGATGCATGTGGGCCTTCCAAGACCCTGCAAAGGTTACAACGCTGCATGTTAGTGCAATCTGTTACTATTAATATAGTCCTGTATCTTAACGAAAATGGTGTGATCCAAAAGGAAGCACACAGCAAGGTTCATTTGTTCAGATGAGATGAACAGATGCAGAATAGACATTACTTGTAGCGTCGGCTTGCTCCAATGCACAGAAGCTGCAACCTTTCCCAAAACTGGTTCCCAGGTAGGCTATCAATGGCCATATAGGCAAAGTAACCCCAGAGGACCGAAGTTGGTATCATCTTGATAACTGGCATAGCTCCAACACAACCACCAACAAGTAAGGATTGCAGCAGGTTGCTTAGTCTCTGTTCGTTCACGCGAACAGGCAAATGTGCTTCGATATATTTGCTAGGATCAAATTCTCCAGCCAACTTCCCTTCTTCATCACCTTCCCGCAGCACAGCATCCTTCAAGCTCTTCAAGTCCTTGTCAACAGAATTAGCCTGCAAGCCATTTTTTTCAGCGACACGAGTATGCACTTTAAGATATTTCCTTACAAAGTTAATAGAAAATATTAACATTCAAATATTTACTCAAAAGAAACTAATGCATGGAAACATCAAGGATGCAGAAGCAACTACATACTTTAGCCTAGAAGTCATTTTGGTTTTTCCTCTAGTTTATGCTCTCTCCAAAAAAAAAATTTGTTCACAAAATTGCAAAACAAGAGAGGCGGTGCCCCCCCTGGTGCAGTAACATTCGCTACAAAAAACTAAGGTGCTGTGGACAACAAGAAGGGGAAATTAGATAGTACGATAACAGACTGAAAGACTCACATTCATGTTGCTGTCCATTTGGATGAACACTTCCTGCATCTTGCCATAGATTTCCAAACTGCTCGCACGGTTTGACATACCCTCTTTGGCAGTTTGAAGCATCTTTTTGCGTAGCAACTAAAGTGGCAAAAAAAAAAGAAGATGGGTAAGCAAATCTGACTACCATAGGCCGTAGCATATGACGCAGATCAGTCTGCATTTCACTAACCTGCCCCTTGAGGACAGCAAGGCTTCTTGTATGCATTGGGGACTGAGGAAGTACTCCATTTGATGGAGGAATGCCAAGCAAACCACATAGTAGGACCTGCACCGTTAACATCCCATGAGAAAAGGAACCCCCCCAACGCATTATCTGACAGAATGACTTAGATGCACGTACCATAAATCCAAGTACCAAAATGTCATAATGGTAGGCCGAAGGCTTCTTCAAATTAAACTCCTTTTGCTGAGCCAACTGTGAAGCTACACTGTGATCAAAGAAATAAAGTCCTGCGACCATCAAAGCAGGCACGATGGCTGCGAATATATATGTAGGAGGGACAGAAAACAAATCCTGAAAGTGAACACCAGGAAAATATCAGAATTATGGCATGCTATATAAGCTTGGAGACCATAATTAATATTTACACATCTAGAATCATAAGTAATTTGACTTATACCTTTGCTACGGTCCAATGTCGCAGTGAGATTGACTCCCAGGGAAGTGGACTGAAGAGCCTCCTAGGCACTCCTGAAGGGACTTTGCTTGGTAGTGCAAATGAAAATGCTGTCCACACAATCACCATCAGTGGTACACCATAATCGGCAATGAAGCTTCTAAGCCATCCTGCAAATGGCAACTCAAAGGCGCGGTGATCAGTGGGTGAATGCATGGATAATAATATAGAACTAGAGCATTATATATGATTTCCCCTGGTGATATATTATATTCTGGAAACAGCTATAAGCTGATTCAGACTACAGAGAAAGATATTCAACCGCTGAAGGAACAGAATTTTAAAACTGCCCCTATTTTTGTTTTATATTTGAGAAATCTCACCAACTATATTGATTTGCAACTTTATTTAAAACTGCCCCTATTTGGACTACTACCAAGTGTTCCAAAGAAAATAGGTCAACCGAAGCCCAGATTAATATTGCCCACTGTTGATCCTACCTAATCCAACCCCAAATGAGCCCATGGTTGGCCTAGTCTAAGGTCAAGAGTGGGCCTGAACCAGGCCCAATCCTAAGTGCTGTCCAGGATAAAAAAAAATGTTCCCTCTCTATCACATCGCTAGTTGAAAGGATGTCGTTGATTTGAAGATGTGTGGTGTAACACGGGAGTTCGGTTTGCACTAAAGATAAAACAAGGTAAGGGAAGCAACAGGAAACGTGTGACCAACCTATGCCATACAGCCATGACCTTGCACGCCTAGTCTTCAGTGCAGTGTACAGCAAGCCAATGGAAAATATAACACCAAGTAGGCCATTGACATAAATCCACTGGAACTGGTATATGGGTGAGCTGGGGTCAGAAATCTCATCATCTTTGGGCATACTGAACTCGCTTACAATTCCCTGCAATAGATAGGGTCCCGTATTGGCATTTTCAGCAGGGCAGAAATAAAGAGCTACGATTTGCTGCACGTGGCATGAGAGCAGCGTTGCAAAGGACGGGCTCCATGGAGCCCGTTTTTCAAAAAAAAAATCAAAATATACTTAAAAGTTTCAAAAAATGTCAAAACAAATTTTGCAAATACGCATGCATGTTCTTCAACTATGTATAAAGTTTCATCAACTAATTTGATTATTTTCATTCTACACAAAAAAGACAAATACCAGTCCCAAAAACAAAAAGGAAAAGGCCTATTTTACTCCATGTATTTGTCTTTTTTGTGTACACCACGTATGAACACATATGTTTATAAAATTTTGTACAAGTATACTACAAACATATGTCTATGTGTATACTTTTTTTCAGATTTTTTTGAGATCTGAAAAAGTATTTTCATTGAAAGAAAAATAAAGAGCTTGGGTGCTGCTTGCATTTTTCGCACGTGGCATACCTTAATAGCTTGTTGCAGGAAGAGGACGGTGATAAGCATACCGAAAAGCTCTCCTGCAACCCTCGTGAATCTGCTTATAACATTGGAAGCATTGAACATGGCCAACAGAAAGAGCATGATAGAAGTCCAAATGCAGACCCTGTCAACAGCAACCAAACACAGAGGGCATTTATGTATACGGTACCGAAGCTATCACAGGATTGGGTGTACTCTATGCTAGGACCTACCATCCAGCCCAAGCCAAATATAGCTGTTCTCCCAGATCTGGCTGCTTCCTGGCAAACTTGTAGAG